CACAGCACAGCCCTGCAGATGGAGCAGAGCCCACAGGGGCTGTGTCAGCCCCAGCAACGCCCCCGTGCAGCTCCATGTCCTTGCTGTCTGGGAGCTGCAGTGGGGTTCTGGGCCAACAGCGACAAGGGGGTCGTAGCACCTGGTACATGTGGCCGAGGACGGGCAATTTTGAGCTCCAGGCAGAGAAGGATGGTCCTGCTCTCACCCCACATGCCGTTCTCCAGGGGTTTGGTAAATGCTGCATCAGCCTCATCTCACCCATCTGCCTCCCACAGCTGCACCCGGAGCCTTTGCTCCCCCGCGGGAGAAACGCGGGAGCCAGGCACGGGCGCTGTGTTTGCCCAGCGAGGTCCCTGGAGGGCTCAGAGCAGCCCCAGAGCTGTGGGAGGTGCTGGGGTTCCCGCTGCCAGCCTGGCTGCTGTGGGCACACAGAGCCGGGGCACAGGCTGAGCTGCAGCCTGGCCCTGGATGGCAGGACGGGCTCTGGCTGAGAGGGGGAGGTCAGTTCTCCGGGACCTTGAGGTGTGTGGTGGTGGCACTCAAGGCTTTGTTTTTTCAACTCGACCTGCAGGTGATGGCCCACACCTGCGGGGAGCAGGCAGAAGGAGGCTTCAGAGAGGACAACTTGTCTCCTGCGAACACTTTGCCGTTCCAGCGCTGGATCTTGCAGGCGGTTAAGGGGGACTGGAGTGAGAGGTGGCTGCACTTCACAGGTGACTGAAGGAAGAGTTGGGGTCATTCTGAGGAGAGGAGTCTGGCAGGGACAGCAGTACCCAGGAAACCCTATCAGTAATGCCACTGAATAGAGCCCGGCCCCATCCATTTGGACACTGGGGCATGCCCTCTGCTTCATCTGGATCACCATTCAAAAGGAGCTGTTCTGGCTCTGGAGATGCTGCTCTATCATGGACCCTCCCTGAACACATCAGGGCTTCTGTCAAGAGGCCTCAGTTTGAACATCCAACAGAGAGCCCAGCCCAGGGTCCACTAAGGTGCACCCCTGGCAGGGCTGGTGATCTCCCCAGCCCACACTCCGTTAGTCAGAGGTGTCACCAGCCAAAGCAGCTCTGAGGCTGAGCTTGGTTAGTTGGGGGGTCGGGTGGGTTTGGGGCAGGGCTCTGGCGTGGAGCAGCTGCAGGGGATGGGGCAGCAGCAGGTCAGGAGCAGCGGCAGCAGGAAGGCTTAGGAGAGCAGTTTGGTGAGCAGCAGGGCTGCAGGGCAGGATCCCTGCCCCTCCTCATCTGGCTCTCCCCAAACTCCATGCGCTGTTCAAAAAGCACTTTCTGCAGCTTGATCTCCTTCAGGACTTGCAGAATCTCCGGCCCTGCGCCGCTCTCCAGCAGATTGTAGTTCTCAGCTGGGTCTGATTCCAGGTCGAAGAGCAGCGGGGGCAAGTGAGGGGTCAGTGGGGTTGTCCCGTGGCAGGCCTGGTCTGGGGTCGTATCACTGTGGAAGGAACCTGTAAAAGAAACCCCTAGGTGTAGCTCAGCTCCTTCTCTTTGAGCTTTGGACAGCAAAACCGTGTGGGGCTTCACAAAGCTGGGGCCACAAAGATTATGAAGGGGCTGGAGCATCTCCCTTAGGAGCAGAGGCTGAGGGAGCTGGGACCCCTCAGCGTGGAGTAGAGCAGCCTGAGGGGGGATCTGATCAGTTTCT